CTCAGCTTTCCCTCCAAGTTGGCAACAAACTGTTCTCGAAGGGAGAAGCAATCTAATTTGTTGACATTAAGTCTTCTGGTAGTCACCTTGCCTTGGGGCCACTGGTTTTGTTGAATTTGAATGTTTAGTTTGGAGAGGATAAGTCTATGGTTGGTCTAGCACTCTAGGCCACACATCTCACATCCTGTCCATGGATAAGTTCACTTAACTGTGCTCTCAGTGAGGTACATATAGATGATGAGGTTAACACACACATCACCAGAGCTCTCTCAGTGTTTGGGAGGCTCTGAAGGAAAGTGCAGGAAAGAAGAGATGTTAGGCTGCCTACTAAACTGAAGGTCTATGGAGGCATTGCACTGACCTTGTTGATGTATGCCTGTGAAACCTGGACAGTCTACCAGCGCCATGCCAGGAAACTGAATCACTTCTATGTGAATTGTCTCAGGAAGATTCTGAAGATCACGCGGCAAGATAAAGTACCAGACACTGAGGTCCTTTCTTGAGCTGAACTGACAAGCATTCAAATTCTGCTGCAAAGAGTGCGACTCCGATGGGCTGGCCACATTGTTCGAATGCCAAATGTATGTTTGCCTAAAAGATTATTTTATGAAGAACTCACACAAGGTAAGTGCTCACACAAAGGTCAGATGAAGCTTCACCACACTCTTGGTCAGATGATACAAGGACCCTCTCAGGGTCTCTTTGAAGAACCTTTGGAACTGATTGTGAGGCATGGGAGATATTGGCACAGGACTGCCCAGCATGGCATGCCCCCATCAAAGAAGGCTCTGTGTTCAATGAACAAAAGAGACTCTCAGTAGCTCCAAAGAAAGGTGATGTGCAAATTTAGAGGCATCTCCACTCCAAATGTTCACGTGGGCTATCTGTGCCCAACCTGTGATAGAGCCTTCTAGGCTTGTACTGCCAGAACTGGACACGTCATACACTGACCCCGACATGGGGATGTCATTTTGGTCCTCTTCAAGCATGAAGGACAACAGCCAACCACCTACTGGTCATCTGTCTTGTGACAGGTGTTTAGGGAGGGGGGGCAGCAGACAGAAGGGAGGCAATGTGGCTTAGTGGAATTTCAATGCCAAGTGCTGTACCCTTTATGGGGTACCTCCAACTCTAACTCATGCATAGGTCCCTGCTCGGCAGCTCCTCACAGGTTTAAGATACTCTGTGCTTTTACATTCTTAAAAACTATCGCTTATGAGTCCCCACCAGAGCATTTACCTTTAATAATCAGCAAGTTGACACATTTAGCTTAAAACAAAAGTATTTTCTGAGATGGTAGGAATAATAGTTACAACACATCCCCCTCATAAACCTGGGGCACACTCTCCCACCCGACAACACATCACAACCACACACAGCATTAGTGGAAAGATTGAGAACACGCTAGTACAAAGGCTGACACGTAGTACATGGGGCCAAGGCAACTCATCTGCAGGTCCCCAGGGTCTTTTCCCTTCTTGTAGTGTCATCGTGTTGCTCGTTCTGGGTGGCAGTGTCTCTGCTGGGGAGTTTGCTCAGCTGAGGTCTCTGAGCCTGTTTCTCTCTGCAGCCCAAATCTCAATATCCAGAGCTGGTTTTCTCTGGACTCACAAAGGCAGTCATACTGCTCAAAACTGTTTCCTGATTCAATTCTCAATTCAATTCCTTAGAAAGTATATCCTACTTTTTTAAAGGGCCATCAATTCTTGGCCAGCCAGTGGCTAAGTTGCCCTCTAATTCCATCATTTTGGATCAGAGACCTTGCAAAGGTCCTTCTCTGGCTCATTTTACAGATGAGGAAACTGAGGCAAACAGAAGTTAAGTGACTTATCCAAGGTCACACCGATAGTATGTATATGAAGTCACATTTGAACCCAGGTCTACCCAACTCCAGTCCCAACTCTCTATCCACTGTGCCACCCAACTGCTTCTAAATGGGAGGGTAGGGAGAGAGGGAGAGAATAGGGAATTTAAAATTAAAAAGAAAAGAATGTAAATTTTTTTTGTTTATATATAATGAGAAAAAATAAAATTAAATGCAAAAAAAAAAGGTAGGCTGATCAACTTCCACCCCATCCCCCACTACATAAGTGCCCCTGTGCTGGGATTACAAAGATAGATTCCACATAAAGGCCCTATTGTCATATTTGGAGCAGGAATGAGGAAACTGAGGCCCAGAGAAGGGAAGGGATTTGCCCACAGTCCCACAGATAAGTAGCAGATCTGAGATGCCAACTCCAAATTCAGTGTTCTCTTCATTCCACCATAACGCGTCTCTAAGCCAGGGAAGGGGTTGTACACAAATAACTATGACAGGGAAGAGCGAGTTAAGGGCCAAGGAGAGTCCTGAGAAGCACTATGGAAAACATGAGCCGGGAAGAGATCCCTTTCACCTGGGGAGTCTGGCAAGACTGGATGCTAGGGAGGAGGAGGTGCCAGAGTTGAGTCTTAAAGGAAGAGAGAGAGTCCATTCCAGGCATGGGGATTTCGAGAGGACAAGATGACAGAGAGGGACAGTTGTTTCAGAGCACAGGCAAGGGAGTACTATGAGATAAAGCTGGACTATCCAATTGGAATTAGATTGTGGAGGGCCATAAATGGAATTTATACTGACTGTTGTCAGTGGGGAGGCAACTAGGAGTCAGGAGATAGTCGGTATTGGAATCCTCCTCCTGCCACCTTTTTTTGGGGGGGGGGTGGTTGACCATGAACAAATCACTTCCCCTTTCCTGGCCTCAGTTTCTTCAGCTTGTAAAATGAAGGGATGGACCAAACGACCTCTGTGGTCCCCGCCCAGTGCCAATGTCTCTGGCCTCCAGCATTATCTGGGCAAGTGATGTGATTCATGTATCCGGTAGTGTCTGAAGGCTGAATTAGAGGGTGAAGGCAGTGGAAGCGGAGGACTGCTTAGGAGGCTACTGTAGTATTTCTTTGCCCCCTCTGCTCCCCTTTAGTGGGTGTGGGGAAGGGAGATACCCTTAGCATTCTCGGCTGGACTAACCTTAGGCGTGTATGTGTCTTTGTGAGTCACATGGGGAGGAGAGAGAAAGAGAGAGAGAGAGAGAGAAAGAGAGAGAGACAGACAGACAGAGACAGAGGCAGAGACACAGAGAGAGGTAGAGAGAGGGAGAGAGAGAAGAAAGAAGAAAGAGAGAGAGAGAGAGAGGAAGAGAGAAAGAGACAGAGAGAGAGACAAAGAGAGACACACAGAGAGAGAGAGGTAGAGAAAGGGAGGGAGAGAGAGAGAAATAAGAGTCGCAAAGCGGGCCTAGGAACTAGAAAGTTTTCTGCGGTCTGATTTCAGTCAAGTTACTGAAGGAGGGGGGATGTGGGGGGAGGGCTGGCTAGAAAGAAAGAAAGGGAATGAGGGGAGGTGGGGAGCGGAGGCAAACTGGAGGGGTCCAGGCGCCTCCTGCCTCCCTAAGTCCCTAGGGGGAGGGGACGCGTAGTCATTCAGACGCCGACCTCCCTAAGTCCCCCTCCTCCTATTTTTGGGGGCAGCCCTCTTCCCTCTCCCAAACCGATCCATGAATCACCCGCGTTGGGAGCGGGAGGGGAAGGCGGGGCCGTGACCCATTCATGCCGGGAATCGCATCCAGATGTTCCTGCCTCATGCAGCTGCTCCTTTGCCTTTTTTGGCTAAAAACGTGCAGCCGAGAGCGAATCCCCAGGGGGGGAAGCCTGGCCGCCCCCCCCTCCACCACTTCTACCCGTGTCGGGGGGCAGGGAGCTATGATGGGGGTCCAGAGACTGACTGTGGCAATGAAAGGGAAGGAGCCTCTGTTCTCGCTAGCTCGTCCCTTTTTGGGGCTTTGTAAGGGCACAGGGTGAGGGGAAAGGGGAGGTGAGGGTTGCAAAGGGTTGTTTCTAGAGGAGAACGAGGAGGTAGCCCAACGGTAGTGAAAAGAAGGCCTCTGGATCGGATCAGTTTCCTCATCTCTAAAATGGGAGTAATTATACATCCATTATCTACTTCACAGGGAGGATAAGATTATTATAATAATGAGCATTTAGACAGCCCTTCAAGGCTGGAAAAGTACTCTACAAACATTATCTCATTTGATCCTCACAACCCTGGGAGGTGGTTGCTATTAATTATACTCATTTTACAGATGAGAAAACTGAAGCAGAGCTTGAGACTTGCCCTGGGCTGGCTGGGTCTAGATGACAACTCTGGCTCCCCGGTTCCAAGTCCAGGCTTCTATGCACTGTACTGCAGTTAAGAGCTACAGAAACCAATCAATCAACAAGCATTTATTGAGCACCAACTATTTGCCAGGCATCCAGGGGTAGGGAACCTGCAGCCTCAAGGCCACACGTGGCCCTCTAGATCCTCAAGTGCAGCCCTTTGAATCCAAACTTCACAGAACAATGTGGCCCTTTAGATCCTCAAGGGTCACATGTGGCCTCGAGGCTGCAGGTTCCCCAACCCTGAGGATACAGAGATAGGAGCTATTAAAATTATAACCCTGGGTCACACTGTATTTTAAGAAGTCTAATATAGGGGAAGGGGTGGAGGGTTAGAATCAGGATACTTCTCATAGAGGCTTGATGTGTGACCTCTAGGAGGTCACTTTCTGCCCCTAGGCCTTATCAGTAAAATGGTGAAAATGATGCTTCCACAGAGCCAATGTAAGAGAAGGACTTTCTAAGTTTGAAACACTCTAGGAAGAGTGGTTTTTATTTTTGCCACCATTCTCCATCCCCACAGAGGACAGAAGATTAAAATTATCCTTTAAGCTACAGTAGGAGGCGAGGCCTTGGGAAAAGTGGGAGATGATATGTGTGTGAGTTGGGGAGAAGGGAGAGGGTGTGATCATTTTTACTGAGCTCCACTCCACAGCAGAGGCAGTAGGGGAGAGGGGATGGCCACCATTCCCTAGAGACTCTGCCAGATACGTGTTTAGCATCTGTACCGTTTGGAGAGAGAAAAGGTTCTTGGGCAAAAAGAGGAATCTGGGGTTAGGGGAACCCCCCCATCTCAAAAAGTAACTGCTACGGTTTCATCACACTTTTATTGCAGAAGCAAGAAAGGAAAGGGAGGATGAATGGTTCCCCCTTCCCCTTTACTCCCCTAGCCCCAATTAAGGGCCCTGTGTCCTTTTCTCCTCCTCACCCCGCACCCTCACCCAGTTTAGTCCTCAGAGCCAAGCCAGCCTCAGGCAGATGAGAAAGTGAAAGGACTGTGTCAGGCCTCTGCTGATACAGCCTGGGTTTAAGGCCGTCTGGGAGGACAAAGAAAATCTTTGGGTTTTGAGGCCTGCGGTCCTGGGTTTGTTGTGGGCAGGAGTGATCTCAAGTTTAAGGACCTGTGGGTAGAGACTTAGGGGTTAGGATTTTGGGCAGGCCAGGAGGCTCTTGGTGAGGGTCTCAGGTTCCACTGATTCCTAGAGCTAGAAGGCACCTCCGAGGTCATTTAGTCCAACCCCTACCTGAACAGGAAGATTGCTCTACAACATCCTGAGCAAATGGTCATCCAGCCTCTGCTTGAAGACTTCCAGCAACAGGGAGCTCACTACCTTCTGAGCTGGGATTGGGGAGCTGTGGGAATGGGGGGCATCCTGAGTTTGGGATGGGACAACCAAGGGGATATTTGGGTTTATGGGAGACCCCAGTTTTGAGGTGGGAGTATCCTGGGAGGTCCCCAGCCGGGGAGGCTCCCTCAGAGATCAGCTTGGCTGCATCCTTGGCAGAGAACTTGATCTCCATCAGGTATGAATCCCTGGCCCACGAGGGAAGTTGAGCAACGGGCACAGGAGAAGCAGCTGTGGTGCCAGTGGCGGTCCTCAAATGACACATACTTGCCCCCGCCAAGACCTGCCAGGGGCAGGGGAAATGGAAAAGGTGAGATCAGATCCCCCAGTACCTTCCTCCCATTCCCAGAAGGCTCCCTCCTCTCCTCCAGCAACAGTGCGACGGGTCCCCATTATCTACCGGGAGAAAGGCCCCCCAACCAACCCCTACCATAATAACCCCCACTCCCCAACAGGAGGAGCCAACCCCCCACCTGTGATGGGCCGCTTGCAGCTGCTACATTTCGGTGCGTAGAGCTCCCCAAAGCAATTCACGCAATAGGGGTCATCGTCCCGGGATGTGAACTGTTGGCCAGCCAGGGGGGTTTGGCACCCGGTGCAGACCAGGCACTCTCGGTGCCAGGGCTGGTCACGATAAGTCACTCCACCTTGTGTCAGTGTCTGGTGGGACAGGGACACAATCAGGGGGCATGACACTAAGGTCAGAGGGCTACAGGAAATATGAGTTTGGAAACATACAGGATATGGAATCAGGGAGCCAGGGTCAGGGAGCATGGGACTGGATGTAGGATATTGGCCTAGGGTAGAGGGGGTACTACCCTGCATCATTCGCTAGATCCTCTTAGGAGACAGAGCAAAGCCTTGGGAAGCTGATACGGGAAGGAGCTGGACATTTTAGAGATACCAACCCCTGGGTCCAGAGCCCTGACCCCCATCTTCCACATCTGTGTGTCCTCCTCCCCAAACCCCTGCCTGATCTTACCTTGCTGCAGCGGGCACATCGAGGGGCAAATTTGCTTTCGTAGCAGGGCACGCAGTAGTGAGCACCCTTGTCAGGCACAAAGGAGCGGGAGCCTAGGGGCTGCTCACAGCCGCTGCAGAGGAAGCAGTGTTCGTGCCAGGTCTGACCCCCGTACTCTAGCTTCCGAGACCCTGGTTGGGAGGGAGAAGGGGTCAAAGGACAGAATGGCACAGCCCCTTCCTTCAGGGACTCCACTCTCACTGCATGCCCAACACGGCCATGCCATGCCCATCCTCCCCATCTCTGCCCCCATGCCCATACCAGGCATGACGGTCTCCCCACAGGCCGAGCACTGGGAGGAGAAGGCGCTGCAATAACACTCATTACACAACAGCTCGTTGTCCTGGCAAGTAAAAGGCTCGTCTGCCAGGGACTTCTCACAGCGGCAGCAGCGAAAGCAGCCTTCGTGGTAGTGCCGATCTTCATAGAACAGTTCCTGTGTTGGGACACAGGGAGAGGAATAACACACGTGGGTTTAGGGTCAACCCAAACTCCCCACCATTCCCAAGGCCACACGGCATTCTCCTGGACAGATCCTTCTTCACTGTCCTCCCCTGAGGCACAAAGGCCTTTGCCCATTTCTCAGATAAGGAAAATGAAGCCCAGAATAGATTTGAGACGGAACCTAAGTATCTGGAAACCAAAGCCAGCTTGGCAGCTGGTGCCCATCCTCACCCGAGAGTCATGCCCAATAAGCTCCTTGCACTCAGCGCATGTGTTGGCGAAGGTGCCATCATAGCAGGGAACACAGTGGGGGCCGCCCTCTGCCTGGATATATTTCCGGCCATACAGGGACTCCCCACACTTGGTACAGTCGAAGGCCTCACTCATGGTGGTGTCAAGGGCCCTGAAGAGAGAGATCACAGAGGAGTCAGGGGTTATGGCTTGAGGAGATGGGTCACACAGGTGCAATGGGAACTGAGAAACAGTCGAGTCCTTCAGATCTCCTCAGTGAAATAAGAAGGCCAGCGTGGAGCTGGGCTAGAACGGCCTCGGAGGTAGGCAAGGTGGGTAGTCCTCATGGTTCAGGATGGTGGAATAAGAGCTGCTGTGTTTTCGGTCTTCTGTCTTAGACACACAGATTGTTAATGCCAGAACATTTCACTCTCTTTGGCCTGCAGGTATTTATCGTATGGTATTTAAGTCCCAAGTGCCCCAATTTTCAAAACTTGCCTAGTCTTTTCTCGGCTCTGGGGCTAAGTAGGGGAGCTTAGACCACCCCAAGCAGGGGAAGCAGAAGTCAGAGTAACCCTAGAAGGGGAAAGCCAGAATTGACTGAAGTGTGTTGAGGAAAGAACGGGGGGGGGGGGGGGGGAATTGCCTTTGAAATCTTAAGGCAACACTCCACTTCAGCTCTGGTCCTGAGAAAGGAGGGATAAGGGGCTGAGTGGCTTAAGGCTATAGAGAAGTCCTGGGGGATATGGACATACATAGTTGGTGTGTGGAGGGCTCCCCGTCTTCTCCCTCTGAATCTCCAGGGGAGAGGGGTCAGTCAGGGACAGGAAGAAGAGACTGCTTCCTAATTGGGTCCTAGCAGAGACTGATGGAGGGACGAACCCCCCTCCCCCACCAATGACTCACTTCCTGTCCTAGCTCTGAGGAGTTCCTTCCACTACCCACCCCCCTCACTACTTCCCCCCACCCTCAGGCTTTCCTTCCCTGGTGACTGATCTGGGTAAGGGGGCAGAGTGACACTAAGTCAGGCTTCCTCTCTGCCCCATCTTAACAACTGTCTTAGCTCCCCCTCGAAGATCTGATGCAGAATTTTACCCCTTTCCCAGGCCCTGAGAGAGCACCAAGGAGACCTTATTATTTTGGGAGCAAACTATGATTCTGGTGCCCAAGGTTGTAGAGAGACCAAGGAGAGACTTCAGCCTAAGACTAGATGCCAGGGTGGGTGTCAGAGAGAACACAGCTCAGGGGTCAGAGAAAAGGAAGCAGTGTAGTATATTATTAGAAAGGGTGTTGGATTTGAAGTTTGGGGTTCAAATCATAGCTGTAATATTACTTGTTTGACATTGGGTAAGCTAATTTTTGGAGGGGGGGGCGAGGCAATCGGGGTTAAGTGACTTGACCAGGGACACACAGCTAGTAAGTGTCCAGTGTCTGAGTCTGAGTTTGAACTCAGTTCCTCCTGACTCCAGGGCCAGTGCTCTGTGTACTACAGCTGCCCAGAACCCAAACACCTATCCGCCCCTGTTAATTCACTTCTCATTTATATTCAAGCCCTTGGTTTCCTCATCAGTGAAATAAGAGCTAGCCATTATTATACGGTGCTTTAAAGGTTGCAAAGGGGGAAGTTAGAGTGTTAAACTAATTGTCTCTAAGTTCCTCTTAGTTCTAAATCTATGCTCAATCAACAAGCATTTATGAAGTACCTACTGTGTGTCAGGGACCATGCTAGGTGCTGAGGATCAGAAGACAGATATGAAACAGTCCCTGCCCTGAAGGCGCTTGCATTCTAGGTGTAAAGACAACATGTACATACATAACCTTGACAGTGTCTGTTTCAAAAACTTTTCCCACAGAGGCTATAGGTAACATAGCTGTAAAAGCCAAATGAATTGTGGAAATTGCTGTTTTAACTGTGTTGGGAGAGACTATTCAGTGATGGCTTGAAAGAAGTTAAAGGCAGAAAGAAGATGGAGATGTCCTTTTTCTTGATGGTATTGTTTAAACCATTGATTTTCTTTCTTCTTCTTCTTCTTCTTCTTTTAAAGGCAATTGGGGTTAAGTGATTTGCCCAGGGTCACACAGCTGGTGTCAAGTGTTTGGTCTGAGGTGGCATTTGAACTCAGGTCCTCCTGACTTCAGGGCCGGTGTTCTCTCTACTGCGCCACCTAGCTGCCCCCTTAAACTATTGATTTTCAAAGAAGATGATAAGATTTCTTGAGAAGAGACTTTATTTGGGATCTTGAGTGAACTGAATGGTGGACCTATGTTTCCAGAAGTAAGGAGAAGTAATCTGCAGTTACATTGATGGTTGGAGGTGAATACGACTGTAAGCTAAAATATTTTTATTTAATCTTATGAAATTAAGGAACTTAATATATAAAGATATACAAATAACTATAATTCAGAAAAGAGATATCTATTGTTTATTAAATAAATGATATTTGATGAACTGAGGTTGGGCCTTGAGCTTAGTTTATTGATAGCTACATTAAATGTTATTAATGAGGAAATAAATAAATATACTCCTAGATTACCTTAGAGCTTGGAGTAAAGTACTACTTAAGTAGCAGGCTGAGAGGTGACCTATAAGTGAATGTGGGCCTTATATAATCCTGCTAATAATAATATACAAAGTAAGTGGAAAGGAATTTCTGGAGGGAGGACACTAGCAGCTGGACACTTATGGGGTAGGTGATGAGGGAGATGTAATTGCTCCTTATGGTCCATGCCCAGGAAAAAAGAGAGGAGATGCCACAGGTTGCTTCCTCTCACCTCTGTCCCACTATTAGAACCCTACTTTTTTACTGTATATTTATTTTGTATATACCTTGTGTTTACTTATCTGTGAACATGTTGCATCCCTCTAGTGCAGGGGTTCTTAATTTCTGTGTCATGGACCCCTTCTCAGAATCACATTTTTAAATGTGTAAAATACATAGAAATACAAAGGAAAACAATTATATTAGGATATGCTTATCAAAATATTTTTCAAGAATAAAGTTCACAAGGGGCAGCTAGGTGGCGAAGTGGCTAGAGCACCAGCCCTGAAGTCAGGAGGACTCGAGTTCAAATTCGGTCTCAGACCAAACACTTGACACTTACTAGCCGTGTGACCCTGGGCAAGCCACTTAACCCCAATTGCCAAATAAATAAATAAATAAAGTTCACAGATTGCAGGGGTTAGGGGAACAAGGGTTCCACTTGTTCTAGTGGAATGTAAACTCCATGAAGGCAGGTGTTATTTCATTTTCTTCTCTTCATCCCCAGCACTTAGCAAAGTGCCTGGCACATGGCAGACACTTAATTAATGCTTGTTGATTGACTGGCTGAAGATGGGAGGAGGTGGCAACAAAGAGAATGAAACCCAAGGGTGAGAATCCAACGTGGGAAGCCTTTCAAAAGTTGAGGGGGCACAGTTAGGATTCCAGAAGCCTCTGCATTCCCAGCCCTTTCTCCTAGCCTGCCTCCATCCCCTTCACTCCCCAGGCCTCCAGCCACTCAGGTCCATTTGTTTTCCCACAGCATGAACTGGCAGTCTTGGTGTCAAACATATGCAGCATCTGTGGGGAGCGCAGATGGCCAGATGTCAAAATTCACTAGCAAATGGAGAGAAAAAAGAGAGAGAGACGGGTAGGGAGAGAGGGAGAAGGCGTGCCGTGCACAGTCTCTATCTCACATGGGTCATTCACTGCCCGTACCCTAACCATTCCTGATCTCATTCGCCTTCTTGAGACCCTGGCAAGGCACTCCTCAGACTTTAGGACTGGCTAAGCTGCTCCTTACAAGGCTGTAAGGTCATTCCTTCCCCCCCTCCTCCTAGCCTCTGAGGGGGACAGATAAAGAAGAATTTGCGTTTGGAGTGAGGGAGACAAAGATGGTGTTTTATAGTGGGAAAAAGCACTGAATTTAGCCCCAGGGTACTTGGGTTTGAGTTCCAATTCTGCCACTCAACTTTGGTTACCAAGTTATATGACCTTGGACAAATCATTCTATCTCTCTGAACCTCAGTTTTCTCATCTGTAAAATGGCAGCAGTAATAACCTGCTCTGCCTTCCTCATAGTTGTCAAGAAAAAAGCAGTTTGTGAACATTAAAGAGCCACATAAAAAGTGAGCTCCCATTATCTTATCTTCCTAGATCTAAATCTTACTTCCCCTTGGCTCCCAGCTGGGCTTAGGGGGGGAAGGGAGGGGAGGCGGAAGGAGGGGAGCCCTAGGAGCTGTGGCTGCAGACACCCGGCCCCCAAACCTCAGACAGTTTCCATTTTCTCAGGAACAAAGCGTGTTTGTGGGGTGAGGTCATCAGCGCAGCTGCCTTTGCAGCAGGCGCAGGAGCTGGAGTCGATGAGACTGGGGACTGGGGGGAGAGAGGGTCCCAGGTTACCCCAACTCCCTTCTCAGAAGCTTCTAAGACAGAAGACCCCTAGCTAGACACCAGTCTCCTTGCCCCTAGCCTCAAGTCTGACCTCCTTGGGGCACCTGGAACCCAGCCTGGGGTGAGACAGAGAAAGGTAACAGAGTGGGACAGGAAGGGGCTGGAAGTAGGAGGAGGAGAAGATGGGAAGGCCCTGGGGCAGAGGCAGAGAAAAGCCGGGGAAGTTAAAGGGACAGAGACCAAAGCATCTGATTCTATGGGGGAAAAGTAGTCTGGCCAGCTAGCTGTCCTTCACACCTCTCTCAATCCCTCCTCAGGTTACCTTCAAGCCTCCCATTACATTAGTCTACCCTACTCCCCAACACATGTCTAGTTACTCCTTTAGTCCTCACTCCTCCCCTCAGTTTCCCCTTCAGCTCCTCTTATTTTATCTTTGCACCTCCCCACCCTTCCCCCGTACCATCACACTTCCCTAAATGCTATCCCTCATTCCTCTCCACAGCGACCCTTCTATTCCCCTCCCCTGCCACAGTTGAGACCAAGCTGCACAGGGACAGCTAGGGAGAGAGAGCTACAAACAGGACAGGAGACTGGCTCTCCCCCGCCTTCAAGGAATAAAAGAACCCCTTCTCCTTCCCCTCAGTGGAGGTTTCCTCTCCAACAGACCTCACTCTGATGAGCGGAGCTCATCCCAGGTTGGTGGGGTACACTGGTCACCCTCCAGCTATGGGAGTTGGGCTAAGTGGCCTCAGAGTCCCCTTCCTGAAATAGTGATAGGGAGAATGGATTTAGGGGAAAGAAACCAGGGAAAGAGCTGAGGTTCCTTTGGGGATCAGTCATTTCTGGGGAACAGGGATTCCCTGTCAGACTACCCTGACTGCAGTGATCCTTTCTAGGGACAATCCTTCCCTGGCACTCAGGAGTTCAGGTCAGTCCTTTGTGCCATGGTAGTTTGGGGAGGAACTCCCAGATATGGGCAATCTACTTCTGTTCCTCTAGGGTGCAGGGTGTATGTAGTTCTGCTACAGGGAATCAATGCTTACTTGACTAAAGTCTCCATCAGCAGGTTTATCAGGCAATATGGGACTCTATTAAGATTCCTGAACTTGTTCTTCAGGGACTATTGCTCTGTGACTCAGTTTCCTCTTCTGTACAAAGGGGAAGACCCCTCTGGAAAAGGGTACATGCAAAACTGAGAGAACTCTGGGGGAAGCTGATTCTTACTCTCCAGAATGTTCCTCCCCTCTGGCCTGGACACCTCTATTCTCCCCATTCCTCCCCCCTTCCCCCCAGCCCATGCTTTCTTTGGCCCAGCATCTGAAGCTCTGCTTGGCCATTCAACACCACATGTAAGAGTGGTCAGTGCAGGTGTGTGGCCGGACATCCGTCTGGGAGTGTTCAGGACCCTTTCCTTCCTCCCTGGCCTGGCCTCCAGCTCCTGAGACAAGGGGTTTCCCCTCCTGGGTTGGGGGGAGGGGGGAATCAGAGTAGCTGGCATTCATAAAGCACTTACCATAGATTATTTTATTAAATTCTCACTAATCCTTTGAGGCAGCAGCAATAGATGTTACTATCCTTAGCTGCCAACAGCAGCACTTGAACCCAGGTCTAGCCGACTTCTGGACCAACGCTCCATATACCACACACTACCAAGCCTGTCTGCTCTATCTGGTGCAGCTGGAGTAGCCAATCCTTGTGGATGAGATTTAAAGGCCCTCCAGGTCACTCTCTTCTCTCCTCCCCCCTCCCCACTTTATACCCTCCATTTCCTTTCTGGGCAGCTTTCTGCCCCACAAACCTAGGTGCATGCCAGGATGGGGTGGGGGTGGACGACAAGAAGTCACCAGAACGCAGAGTTCCGGTGTATTTGATTCCCTCTTCCTCCAGGGTATCAGGGCTACAAAGGAGAAATCTCAGTTCTGAGATCTACACAGAGCCATTTTAGTGCCTTCTTAACTCCTAGAATCCTGTCTGCACAGCCAGAGGCAGGATCCTATAATACCGACTCTTTACGCCCAGGAGTGGGCAGGCTTTGAATTTCCCCAGTGCAGTGGTGGTGGCAGTGTTGGGTATCGAAGATGAGAGACACTCCATCCCCTCCTAGGCTTTGGTCCAAGCCTGGGACTCTTCCCCCTAAGAGGGAGTGCCTTCTGTGTGTGTTCTCCCTTCTTAAATTTCTCATAGCACTTGGTCCAACTCTCCTTTGTTCCTATCACATTATCTCTAGTAGGAGGCTCAGTTTTGTTTCCACTGAGTCACATGCCCCATAGTAGATTCTAAGTTCTGGCCAGGTAGGGGCAGTGGACGTAGTAATTGTCTTCCTTGTGTTCTTGGAATCCAGCATAGTGCCTTGTATGTAGTAGTCATTTGGTAATAAATATTTGGTGAATTGAACTAAAGTGTTGTGTTCTATAACCAAAGAATGGAGCCCCTCTCTAGGGGCAAAAATGTGGGAAGGGCTCCCTGACCAGTCTGTTCAGCATGGGAATCAAGCAGAAGCCCAGGTATTCCCTCAGGTCCAGCCTGCTTAGCTCCAGTGGAAAAGCCACTCTTTACCAAACCCTGGACTCCAGGGTCACCCAGCCATCTCTCTCTCCTCCTCGTTTTTGACACACCTTGTGGATCCCCTCTGAGCTCTACAGGAACCTCTGGCTGCCAAGAGGCTGCCAATACTGAGTTCTCAGGGAAGAGGAGAGATTTGGAAATGTTTCAGCCAAGCTATCCAGAAGGCAGAGAACATTAACGGGGTTAGGATCTAGGTTCCCCTTGCTTCCTCTATCACAGAGGGCCAGACACTCCCAGTTCCCTAAATGTTCATGCAAATAAAGTTTCCCATTATACCCACTAACTACTCCACTGTTTGGAAGAGCATACAAATGTGAGGACATTTATTTCCCCACTGGCTAGCAGAGAACCTGCCCTGCCCCCCACCCCTCAGCTGTGACTAGGACTACAACCTTCTCTCTCTGCCCCCCTCCGCCTTTCCTCCCCTTCCCCAGATTCCAGGAGTTGGTGGGTTTGTTGACAGAATACTCAAGAGGAGAAATTTAACACTCACACACTTTCTCTCTCTCTCTCTCTCTCTCTCTCTCTCTCCCTCTCCCTCCCTCCCTCTCTCTTACCAGCTGCCTGGCACCAAACCTAAATTCTCCTCTTTCCTCCCCCCTCCCCATGGGGGCCTGGAAGGACAAAGCTGCTTGGGAAAGGAAAAGGCTTGGTAAGGGAAGGATGGATGAAGCTCCCATGGGCCCAGGGACAGCCAGTTCATTCAGTCTTTCTCCCCTGGGGCTGAGGCACTAGGACAGAGATTTGAAGTGGAAGATAGAAGTTTGGGGCTAGCCAGGTATGTCTGTCTCACTCGGGAGTCTCTGTGGGTCTGTTTCTCTTTGCCTGATGCCTCCTCCATCTTAGTCTCTCAATTGTGTCTCAGTCTCTGGGTGTCTCCGAGTTTCTGTCTCTTCCTTCTCCAGCTTGGCTCCCCACAGCAGTCCCACACCCAGTGAGACAGCGGGAGCCTCCCCTCCCCACTCCCAGCCTCCCTTCCTTGTCCCCCAAGGTAGAGTCTGGCCAGAAACTAGCCGGCCGGTTCCCAGCGGGAGGGCACAGACAGCGGCCGTTGGGAAAGGGCGGAGAAGGGGAAGATGTCAGTGGGGTTTCGGCAGCGGGGAGCTCACTCCCATACCCGGCCTCGACTAGGTAGCTCGGCTCGGCACGGTCTCCCGGGCTCTGGGGGCGCTCGGAAGCTGGGACCTGGGCAAGCAGGCAAGCAAGCCGGGGACAGGCAGAGAAACAGCTGCCGTTAACCCTTTGTGTGCCACTCGGGAACTCTCCTCCGCTCCCCGCGCCCCCTACTCCCGCCACACCTTCCTGTCCCAGCAGGAGAGCACGGCCCCAGCAGGAGGGGACTGATCGGCCCGGGACGTGGGGCTGGGGGCAAATTCAAGGGTAGAGTCTAGCCAGGAGGCTTGATGGGGTGGAGGAAGGGGCGCAGCCGCAGCTGGGGCCGAGGGCGGGGTGCTGGGGTAGGGTCCCAGTTGGCCGAGTCTTTCTGCCCGCCGCCGTGCGCGGGGCGGTGGCTCTTACCTGGGGGGGCCGGGGCCGGACTCGCGGCTCAGGCGACTCCTGTCCAGAGACTGTGTGGGCGACTCTGAGCGCAACGTCCCTAACCCCTCCCGGAGGAAGTGAGGGCGGGAGCCCGCCCAGCCCAGCCCGGACCCCGCCCCCGGCCCCCCTCCCCCCAACTCTGCCCAGTGCCTCTTGGACCCACCCCCGTCCTTGTTGCTCTCCCCCCTACAACCTGGGACCCCGCCCCCTCGACCAGAGCCCCTCCCCGAGTCCCCTTCCCCAAGTCTGGCCTATCTGTGCTGGTCCTCCTCTGACCTTGGGCCTCAGACTATGGCCTAGCACATAGTAGGCATTTTGAATTGAAAGCCTTCCCAGGGCTTTTCGGAGACCCTTGCTCTGGCTTCTCTGGCTAAGGGTTAGGAAGTATTATCAGGTGGGGTCTGAGCCTTCAGATTTAATATAGAGCTTTGTTAATCTAGCCCAATCCTTTCATTTTGCATCTTGAGAAACTGAGGCGCAGAGGGTATAAGTGCCTTGCCTAAATCATATAGGTGGTAGATAGCAGGGCTAGGATTTGAACCATCTGCTCAGAGATTTAGAGCTGGTAGGGACTTTTATAGGGCATCTAAGTCCAAACCCTTCATTTTACAAATGAAGAAACTGAGGCCCTGAGGGATTTGCCCAAGTGACAAAGAGTGATAGAACAAGGATTTGAAGCCAGAAAATAGGATTCCAAATCTTGTGCATTTCCCACCATACCAGGTCCTCTGACTCACTCACTATCCACTGATCTCTCCTGTTTTCCATGGTGGAATCTTTCTTGCCTCTACTCTAAGAATCTGAGTATGGCCTCAAGGAATTCCTTCCTGTGGGTGGGGTGGAGGTGTCTTTTGTCCCCTAGATCCCTAGCCCAATATGACTAGGGAGCACAAGTTAGATCCCACAGCTTGGGTGGGTGGGTGGGGGGCTCAGCTGGGGTTAGCCTGGCTCTAGCCATAGCAAGGGTAGGGGCATGTTGCTGTCTCAGGTCATAAAACTGCTAGATTTAAGGCTGGAAGGGCATTTAGAGAACAGCTAGTCATAGTATCATAGACCTAGAGCTGAAAGGGACCTCTGAGGTCATCTACTGTAATCTCCTCATTGTAATAGGTGGGGAAACTGAGGCCTGGAGACTTGTCTACAGTCATCTTTGGTGGTATTTGAACCCAGGGCTCTGACTACAGTCAGTGGTTTTCCCACTGTACCAGGGTACCTCGTAGCTTTCCCATTTTACAGAAAAAAGCAGGTTGAGAGAACAAGTAGACTCCCCCAAAGTTACATGGGTAATATATAATTCTCCCTTGGTGACTGGAGAGGTGGGGGGGACATACTCCTGCTACTCATAGTGGTGACAGCAGGAAGGATTCCTGCAGATGGATCTGTGACCTTCCAGAGTTCTTTATTTAAAAGTTATGAGTGCTGCAGTGAAAGTGTGTGTGTGAGTGAGAGAGAGAGAGAGAGTGTGTGTGTGTGTGTGTGTGTGTGTGTGTGTGTGTAGGGGGAGGGGGGGTTGTAGAAGGGAGGGAGATGCCTTCTTTCTCCAACCTACCCTCTGGCCCCATCTCTGACACCAAAAATATCCTGACTCTACTGCCTCTGTTTCCCCAGTGTCCAGAAATAGCCTTGACCTTTGAAGCCCTGGGGAGAGCCTGATGATCCTTGATCCCTTGATCCCAGTGCTTTTAGAGAAGCAAGAGAGAAAGGCCAGTGGCTGGGGGTGGGGGTGTTGGAGCTTTTTTTGCTCCAACCTTCTCCTGTGCCATAGGAGGCTGGGTGACTGCCTGCCTGCTGCCAGTGACACCCTGTCCCCTCCAATGCTTTGAAACACCCCCACCAAGGGACGATGGGGCTTGTCACCAGAAATAAATAGCCCCTGAGTGATTGGGGGAGGGAAAGTGGGGGAAGTGAGGAGGCACTGCTGGGGCTGTTTGCAAAATAAAGAGACAACAAACTGATCCTGGAAATAACCTCCCAGATAAACTGGCTCCAGGGACAATTAAGAACAGAAATTCAAATCCCAGGAGAGTCTCTCCAGCCCCCCTCCACTCCCACCCCCATTAGGTTTCTTTCCATTCTGAGGCTCTTGGCCTCTAATTCTGCTTCTTTTTTTCTCTAGACCCAAGGGATTCAGAACAGTGCTAAATTTATTCTGAGCCCTGTGGTGAAGGAAAGCCTGGCCTGTAAGTCTTTTCATGTGGTCGTGGGGCAGATCCTTTTCAATGTCTGTGCCCCAATTTCCTCATCTGTAAAATGAGGGGGTTGACCTAGATGGTCTAAGTTTCCTTTCAACTGGAATGATCCATGAGGAGGCATCAATACTGGAGTACTGGAGGTCTAAGCTTTTGGCCATTGTCTTGTGGTCTGGTCTACTGGGGAGAGCCTGACCACTTAGAGGGAAGGGATTCTGCCCTGGGGAGGGGATGGAACACTGGGCAGAAAGGGAGCACTGAAGACTGGAATGGATTCTAGGATCCTGGTCCTTTTAGGGAAGAAGGTAATGGAGAAGAAACTAAAGGTTCATGACTGAATGAAGGAGGTTGAGTTGTTGCAGGGCTGGGAGGCTAGGGAGTGGAATGGCAGGAAAGAATGGAAGAGATTCAGAGAGCATCAGATCTGGAAGGAACCTTAGACCACAGAGTACCACAGCATGTTAGAGTGGTAAAGAGCCTTACAACATAGGTCAGATCTGGAAGGCAGCTCAGACATGATGGAGTGCCATCGCTCATTTTACAGAGAGTGAAATTGAGGTCTCATTTGGAACAAGCAGCAGAGCCAGGGCTAGAATCCAGGTCTTCTGACTTACATCATGGATTTCATGCTGGAAGGAACCTTAGAGGCCATCTCATTTAACTGCCTAACAGATGGGGAAACCGAGGCCAAGAGACTTGCTTAGGGGCATGTAGGTAATAGCAGTGGTGGAATTTGCACCTGGGCCCTTTGACTTTAAATACAACACTCATTCCACTGTACTGGGCTAGGTGGTACACTATGATATTATGCACTTAAGTCAAAAGTTCTGTGCTCTGAATTGGAGGAGATACTAAGATTAAAAAAAAAAAGATAATCCCTGTCCTCAAGGAGCTTACAATTGGGTAGGGAAATGAGACCAGTACTCAAATAACCACAATAGGAAATAGAACATAAGAGCACAAGAGAGGTAACAATGTAACAAGAGAATTAGGAGGCTGCAGAGATCACTTTAAGCTATCAGTGGCAGCCAGGGAGCTTTGGGTCTTAAGGATGGGTAGGTCTTAGGATAGTAGGATTTAGAACAGGGGCAGGCTGCACTTGAGGACCTAAAGGGCCACATGTGGCCTCGAGGACAAAGGTTCCCCTGATTTAAAATTTAAAGACCTAGTGTAATCACCTAATTTTGCAGTCAGTCAATACTTGTTTATTAAGACCTATTATTTGCTTAGTAGCAGGGATATGAAAGAAGGTAAAAGAAGGTAAAAGTTCTGCCCTCAAGGAACTGGCAGTCTAATGGGGGAGACCACATGCAAACACTTACATACAAACAAATTATATGCAGGGTAAATTGGGGATAACCAACAGAGGGAAGGCCCTAGCATTAAAGGGGATTGCGAAAGACATGCTGGGGGGAATTTTAGCTGGGACTTGAAGGAAGCCAGAGAAGTCAAGAGGCTGAGATGAGGGGAGATAGAATTCCAGGTGAGAAAAAGTGGGCTGGAGGTAGGATTTGGCCAAGGTCACAAAAGTAGTAAATAGCAAGTCTGGAATTCAGAAGCAGTTCACTGCTCATTTTACTGGGCTGTGCTGCCTATGCTCTGGAATAGGCCGCAAAATTGGCCGTGTCTTTTTGTCCCCTTCCACAGCCCCAGGTCCCCACCCAGCCTGTCTCTGGCTTCTTTGGCCTTGGGGACATGCCACCAGGGGACTCTGTGGGGTTCAGGCCACTTGGACTTTCTGTTCCCTCCTTTACTCCACCCTAGAGGCTTCATGGAACAGGTGCACGGGAGAAGCAGGCTGGTCAGGCAGCTGCCCCCATCCAACCCTGGCAGCACGTGGATGCCGGCAGTGGGGGCGGAGGGAGGAGGAGTAATGTGCTGAAGGGGTTAGGAAGGGTCAGTCCCAGCACATGCATACCCTTTGTCCAGCCTGGACTTGACTCTGCTGAATAGGAAGGAACTTGGTTGCCCCGTGGTCGCGTGACCTTCTCTAAATGTGAAAAACTCTAAATGCGATGAAAACAGCCTTACTTTTCTTCTCTGATGGCTGTACTGTTTCTCTGCTCCAACCCCTCCTTTCTCTCACTTCAAGGGAACTTCCTTCCTCCTCAGGATTAATTTGTCATCTTTGCTTTGGGGTGCCACCTGCAGGTCCTGCAGGGGTCTGTGTGTGTGTGGAGAGGGGTGTCCAAGGACATTATCTCTGGGCTACTATTGATCAGTAGTGACATACCTTTAAATTTCCAGGGACCAAAGCAAAACCAACATTGCTTTGTATACCCCCAGAAAGGCCCTTCCAAAGGTGGGGTGGCTCAATGGGAAGAACATTGGAATGAAAGTCAGAAAGCTTGGGCCTGAGTTCCAACTCTATACTTACTAACTTAGCCAAGTAACTTCACCTCTGAGTCTCTGTCTTCATCTGTAAAATGGGGATAATAACACCTGTCTTGCAGGGTTATGAGGATCAGATGACATAATTGTATGCGGAGGGACTTGAGAAGCCAGTACAGATATGAGGGATTATTCAGTAAATGCTTACTGATGGGTTTATGACTCTTGGGGGTGAGGTAGTACAATGGGTCTTTTCTCAGTTAGATTCCTATGCTTTGAGCTGTGTGGAGGAGGGGGGAGGGCAGGTAGCCTGCAGAAGCAGTTCCTCTCAAGGTGGGTTTTGGTATAGATCAGCCCAGCCTCCCATCTACATCTCCCAGGACGGTAGTGAGGACACAGAATTTCTCAAGCTCCCTGTATCTGGAAGTTCTGATCAGAGTAATGCAAGTCAATGTGGGGTGGACTTAGTGAGAGCCACCCTAGAGGGAGGAAACTCATTTCCCTGTAGCCACTGGGCTGATCTGAGATTCCTGTCCCTGA